AAAAATCTATACTAGTTATTTAGCTTGCATGCTTCACTCAAAAATATCCATTTCAAGTTTACTGTTAGTGGCATTGGGAAGTGAGTAATTTCAAATAAGCCAGCCTTCTCAGATCACAAAGTTAGAAGAAGAGTGATTCTCTTTCTGAAGTTCCTGAGTTGTTTAAGAACAATTACATTTCTTTGTATAAAAAGGTTATCCATGTGTTGTGAATACTCAATAGTATTTGTACTCCTTCAGGCCAGTAGTATCTTTTTGCTCACCCTTATTACAGATGTGCTTACTGGCACTTAACTTTAGTTCCTCAAAATGTATTCTGCAATAGGAATATCCTGGGGCCATATTCTAGGAGAGCTTTACATGAAGAAAGCTGTCTCTGTATCATGTTGAAGAGATAATCCCTTGTTGTTTGAGTCTCTGATGTTTTACAGAATAAGGCAGAGTTTTCTTATATGTATCTGGGTCAGTAACTACACTTGTTTTCCCCAATGAGTGTTGGTTTTCCAGTCACTTTAACTCCTAACACACTCTGCATCAAGACTGCTATTTGCTGTGAGCAACAGTTGACTGAGTGCTGGAGGCTTCTTCTTGCCCTAAGAGGCTAAAGGAGATGAAAGTAACCATAGCTGATCAAATTGTGACATAGCAAAGCTTAACAGATGCCAATTCCATTTTTAAGGTTTAAATTGATTATGCTACCTGTAAGCACACAAAGATGAGAACACCAAATCTTGGATGAAAAGATTACAATATTTTTTTTCAATAAAAGAGAATATAGCAGGAACCCTGATAGATCAAAGAATGTTGATAGGACAAAATGCTCCTTCAAACTAGAATTTCACAGTTTGTCCTCAGATGTTATTCTTTCTCCACAAGACAAGAAAACTTGAAAATAGAAAACAGAACACACAACAAGATACTGGAGAAATCTCCTCTAAATATTGCATTTTCTTTAGGCAAAGATACTAGGACTTTCTTTGACTGTCATATGCATACTACCTGCATAACTTAAGAAAAGGGTGTAGCTACCTGCATAACTTAAGAAAAGCAGGTTTCGTGCTTTTTTCATTAAAAAAAAATCATTTTATTATCATTTATTTAACACTTTAATAAATCCATATGCTACTTTCTACATCATTCTGTTTGCAGGGAAGCCTATGACTTGTCAAATAAACTTGTGGACTGAGGGCAAAGTAATTCACGTGTCAGTTACATGTAGAAGTGTCATATGTCTTCTATGAGGAGAAAGAAATCATCAGAATAAAAATAAATGTGATTCATCCACTTTCCTTATTCCCTAATTTACAAAGTCTATATAATAATTAGCTAAAGTACATATAGCCATCTGATGCTTTTTAAGAGAAGTAGAATCTTCATAAAATATGGATGACACTTTAAAAATATACTGTGGCTAAATTGAAATATGCAATGAAAACTGCTATTTTCCATGGATCTGGTAGCCAATCCATTGCAAAAGTAATTAAAGCATCTGGGCAGTAATTTCAAGGCCATTTGATGTCAACAGAGTTCTTCATATTGTCATGAAGTAATATGGGATTGGAGTTAATCTCTTGAAAAATACAGACTACCTACCTTTATTTTTGAATGGATTTTATCAATGGTTTCTAATACTTAAAAGTAACTTCTCTTTGCCTCAACTGCAACTGAGCTGTGATTGTCACTAGACAGTTGCAAAAAGTCCCATGAAACACCGAGAAAGCAAAGATGAAGAAAGAGAATGAAAAGAAGACATATTTTTCCTCTTCATTTTTTTTTTCTATCTGTGGCTTAACTTTCCAAACCTCATTTCATCTGGGTAGCAGGGATGTATTTCTGCTACTCTGTGCTCCAGAGATGGCTCTACCATGTTCTCCTGGGTGCATCAAATGTATTATGTTAAACTGAAACATCATTAGGGATTGTCTTTTCATTCTGTTTGTATACAGCTCTCCATCACATCAGTCTTAATTGAGGGCAAGATGCTATCCTAGTCATGAATAAATAAATAATAATGGTAATTTCTTAAAGTTTGTTTATAGAGTATTTCCATTTTTTCCTGATATTATTGCTTACAAGGGTACCAGCCCTTGAATAACAGTGTTGTCTACACAAAATACCTCAATCAAAAATGCTACCCTCTTCACGAGTAGATACTTGGAGATATTACTATCTCTAGAGAATGCTATTGACTGTTGCATTGAATTTTCCAGTGCAACAGAATCTTTGTGGAAAAAGTCCACACGTGTAGAGCAACATCTGTGAAGTTTTACACTGACCTCTTCCTCAAAAACTGGAGCTTCAAAGCAGGACAGTCTAAAATTTAAAACCCCTTATTTCAGAAAGGCTGTACGAGACATATTTCAGTGCTCATATCACATTATTTGTTACAATAGATTCCTCTCACCAGTGCACTCAATCCCTAGATCTGTGAAATTAAATGCTAATATAGTTTATCATTATTTGATAACATCCTGTAATAAGGGTAAAGCATATTAACAATCTGAGTATTCATACACATGTAGGCACAGAGAAACAAACATGCCCATATAGAAATAGTTAACTACTAAATATTTCCTACTTACCAAAAACATCACTCTGTGATATTTATTTATCTAATTTATCTCATTAGTTCTAATCATACATGAACCACTCCCCTATTTTAGGTAAATAGCTTAATTTTATTGTGTCTGTATCTAAATGTTAGTCATACATTTATATGGTAAGTAATGCATGCTTTTAAAAAGGAACAGTGAAATTCAGAACTAAAATAAAATAATTTTCATCAGGTTAACACTATGCATTAAAAACTTTGACAAAATGATTTCAACAACAATACTGTCCTAATTCTTAATATGAATTCCAGTGTTGCTAGATTGAAAATCAAGAGCTGTAGTGCTAGCAAAAGCATTAAGATTGGTTTTGAACTTGAGGTGTTTCGTGCTGTGCTGAAGCTGAGAGAACATACGGGGAACTTTAAGCCAGTTTGCACAAACATTCAGGTGAATAGATCCTTTTTTTTTTTTTTTTTTTCATCTTCTCTATCACTAGTTATTTGTATGGGCCAGAAAATACAAATAGTTATTACTTATATTTTATATTAGAAAAAGTCGTCATCCCTTTATTTTTTCTCTCTACCCCTCTGATCTTGTGTGCTTTCAAACTATACAAAGTGACTTCACAATCTTTTTTAAACTATAAAAGAAGTTTAGGAAAGCACTAACATTCACCAAGCCCAGAAAAACTATAACAGACAGCAAAAAAAATCCCCAAAGCTCAGTTTTATTTTATGCCAGATATTCAAGTACTACATTCCGAGATAAAGAGGAGATTAAAAGGAAAAAAAAAAGATTTTTTCCTACATGAAATGGAGAATATATAGTAAATATTTTATATTAACAAGTGCAACCAAAAATGGATTCAATATTAACACAGAACATGTGTTAAATATAAATGTTGTAGTGTTCTACTGCTTAACACGGCTGCTAACGCTATCCCTTGTATTTCAGAATAACAGTTTCTTACATGAAATGTATGCCCCAAACATCTTTTGAGTGGTATGAATAGAAGAAACATCAAAATCAATCAAATTTTCCCTGGCTGGTGGTAAGGAGGAGAAAAGAGAAGAAGGTTCATTCACCTCATAAAGGCATCTTGTATAAAGTTTTCATAAATGACTATAACCCTATGACAAATAAAAACCCAACGATTCAAATAGTCACAGATTTCACTACTATACGCCATAATCAGACTGGAATATCACAGAATACAAGAATGCAGTTGGCTGTAGAAAGACCTCCGTGTTTATGCAATAACTGTGATAGTAATTAGCATGTTAAAATGAACTAGATTAGTTACAACCTGCCTCTTTATGAAGAATTTTCTCTTACTGCAGCTGCAAGAGTGGTGCAGATGGTAATTATTTTTACTTTAATGTGATTTCTGTTGCAGTGATTTTAGCACAGATCTGTCCTAAAAACTTTCGATATGCAGCACCTCCATTTGTCTTGGGAGAGAAAGAGTGAAGGACACCTGTACAAGTTAATTTCTAAGACAGTGATAAAACCATAAAAACCCTGTAAACTCTGATCAGTAGCAGTGTTCTGGTCAAAATAAGGGCCCAGTTTATTATTTTTCAAGTTGATTTTTCTTCCTCTCCTGCTGTCTCATTTAAAGCACACAGTCCCTACAGTGCAGTTTTCTTTACGGAATATCTTTTTTTTTTTTTCTCCCCATCTCAAACATGGTCTCCATTTACACCTTGGCCTCTTGCTAGATCTCATTACAGTAACAAATACTCCATAATCTGACCCAGGACAGTTCATTTTTACTGAAATCACCCCAACTGGTGCCATAACAAATAAAAAGTCAAAGAGGTGCTTGAGTGGAAAGTAGTCAGGCATTTCACAAGTCAGGGAATATTCAGTGATGGACTATCTTTTAAATATGTAATAGACACATGCAGCCTGCCCTTCTCCTCCCACTTCCCCTTCTCTTTAATTTCTATTGCTAGGTTTTAAGCAAAACTAATTCATTCTTCAGAAAGTTGTGGTCAAGAAAAATAACTGCTATTAAAGTTCTGATACACCACTGGTTTCCCAGAGAGAGCCACACAAAGAAGTCTGCTGAGAAATAGCATGTTCACTCTATCAAGGCAAAGAATATAACTAGCCAGTCATTAAGCCCTGAATAAAGGATGCTGATCTGAAATAAACTTATGTTTGATCTCTACTTCTTTTTATTATTATTATTATTATTTTTATATAATGCAATCACTTACTCAGGGTTTCCATAGTAACAAGTGAGCTAATTTTTTCATTTTAAAGCTTTTTCATGCAGCTAACATACAAATACAGTGGGGTGATTGGGACAGAATACTATTTCTGCTTTTCTGGTGTTATTTAACCAGTGCAGGGTAAAGTAAAACATGGTTTTCAAGGAGACAGGAGATTTATTTTTCCCTCCTCTATGAGAATGTTTAAAAAAGTTTATGATTTACTTACATCTTTGGTTTCTGCGTTTGCTCTTGTACATGGTCATTCTGAAGAAATTCCACTTTCTAAGAAGCAACTGCTTGAACACAGAGACAAAAGAGGCTTCTGCTCAGGCTTCGGCTTTGCCGTGAGACAGTTGCTCACTGACAGAAGGTAACCAGCAATCTCTCAGAGAAAGGCAGGGTAATACCATTCTCGTAAAATCCAGGGGAGATGCTACTGGCTTTAACTATTTTCTGCCTAGGAAGCTACAAAAAGACCAAATATATCCAAACATATTTATTTTTATATCTTTTCCAATGTATTTTATACCAGTTAATAAAATCCTGAGAGCATAAAGAATCATATAATCAGAGAGCGGTTTAATGTAATATTTGCTACTCTGTCATAAAGGTTTCTCAAAAAGCCCTGATAAAACTAAAATGGCATAAATACCTTCATGAACACATTAAAACTAACTTTTAATTGGGAGATTCTTAGAATTATACATAGAGAGGAAATTAAAAATATTGTGGACTAAATCTTCAAGCACAATTGCTATGCAAGGTAACAGAAATCAATGTTTGTTGATCAACATCATTCTGATTGCTGACTTGAACCCATAGGTTTTTAGAAAACATAGAGATAGGAACCCTTTTTTTATGCCTGGGTAGACTTCAGAACTATCTTCAATTATTTCCATTTGTTAATTATTTGAGATATTGAAATAACAGTCTAGTGTTTGCTCATTTTTATAACAAACCCATTGCCTTCTAATCTGTTAAATCACAAGGTCATTAGGAAAAAATATATAAATTAAAGCTGAAGCATTATGTGGGCTTTTACATACCTGCATGTCACCTTTTCAGGGAATTCAGCCATTTTGTTAAAGGGAATGTGGAAAGTAAAAAGAAAACTTTCCCAAATTAGTAAGGGTAAGCAGTCTCTGAAGAAGATTGACCAACAGTTATTTTCTTCAAAAGAAAGTTAAAAGAAATGTCACACTTGACTGAATACTATAAAACTCTACTTGCTTCATATTTTTTCCTCTCAATTTTTTGTTTATAGCACCAATAAAACTATTTTTTTTAGTGCAGTATCATTTATTTTTCTTTTCAATTGCTCAGTATTTTGCGTAGGCACACGATTGACAAGTATCTAGCTTCCGAAGTGAAATCTTTATTCTATATTGGCTTTACTCTTGTACTTTTTTTCCCTTTGTCAAAACCTGACCACATATCTTTTCCTTTGCTTTGGATTTGTATCAGCATAACTGAAGATAAAATGCAGCCTAAAGAAAGAGAAAGCACTGGACTATTTGTTTATTTATTTAGTACCTTTGAACTACAATAATCTGAAAATAGCAGCAGACAGAGTGTTTGTACAGAATAAAAATACTGCATGCCACATACACAAATAATGGCGATTAATTTATGTCCACAGATGTCAGTATTTCTTCAGCAAACTATATGTGCTGAGGCTAATCCCCCAGTTTACCTGCTTCATTTTTTCCTCTGAGTTAATTTCCAACTGAATCCGTTCTGTGATCTGAATGACATCCTAGTAGAACAGAACAAGATGGGTAGCACATCTCATTGCAACAGTATCACCTGACGGTATTTAGATTTCCTGCTTCATGAAGCTGTCTTTGCTGCCTTTTCCTGCTCTTTCTACTTTGACCTGAAGGATTTAATCTGTATAATTCAGTGCAAATTTTAGTTCTTTCCTTATTGTGACGAGGTGTTCTTAAGTCTTTTTTCTCAGCTCACTATAGAACTTAACTGCAAGATTAATTCCTTTAACTTACCTAAATGGCAAATTTCTATCTCTCTTTTTTTTTTTTTTTAATGTAAATATTGTAAATAATGTAAATGTTATCAGTTTGGTGAATCATCATAGGTCTGCTGATTTAAAACCAAAAACAATGCAAAACAGTATCCAAGAATCAGTAAAAGTTGTGTCCCTGGAGGATTTTAGAACAGGTTAGATAGCTCTGGGGAGGCTACCTGGGGGATGGTCTTAATGACATCCTGTACATTTCTCCGGCCTTCCTGTGTCCTCTATCTCCAGATATATCCATGGCCCAGCATTAGCCAAGGTTCAGTCTATGTTAGTCCTTCAGCACACGTAATGCTACTGGAGCATTCCTGACTGGGGAAATACTAGCTCAACACTGGGAGAATTTACATCAACCAATTTTAAGCATTTAATGGTTACTACCTACTTTTAGGGCACCCAGGAAGACTATTCTCCACTATTGACAGCGGAGGGGTTTCTCCAACAGGGAAAAAAAATGACTAAGGTTGATCCCTGCTCTGATTTACTTGTTTCACTGATTATTGAGAACCTAGACAAACTTGTCACCTAAATCAGACACCTAAAGATACACAGTATGAACACTCTTCAGAGATTCCATAGTTACAACATGTCCTCAATTACAGTTGGATAGCATCCATAAAATTCAGAGTAGCTACAATATATGGATACACTGGAGACAGAACTTTTGACTTTCCACTTTAGAGCAATGGTTTTACACCAAAAGAAGCTCTGCAAGTCCGGATTTTGACAAGGAGAGAGAGGTTTGATACCTTCCCAACTTTAACTCCCTCCTCATTATTCAGACTATACTATATAATCTTTGAGTGAAATTTGGCCAAATCTATTCTGTTCTGGTTCCAAAAAAAAAAAAAAAAAAAAAAAAAAAACGAATAATGCAGTTATGAATACTTGACAGTTCTTCCTTTTTCTAATAAAATTCTGTGCAGGTCCCCTTAGACTGGAAGCAATAGCATAAATCTTTCTCTTCCTCAGTCTGAGGAATATTTAGCTATTATTTTAAAACAGGCATAATAAGCTATTCCTCTTTGAAACGTCTGGGAAAAAGAAAAAAAAAAGTCTACAGTGGAAAATCACATTTTCCTTTCTGCTTTAGCAAGTGGGAAACCCATCTCAAATGTATTCCATTTTGACTTCTTTCATTGGCTTTTGACACACCATAAGATCCATATTTGTTCTTTATCACCTTAGATCAGTTTCATGGCTAATTTCCTTCCTTCCTTCCTTCCTTCCTTCCTTCCTTCCTTCCTTCCTTCCTTCCTTCCTTTTTTTTTTGGTTTTTTTTTTTTTTTTTTTTCTTTTTTTTTCTTGGGGCAAAGTTAAACAAGCAATGGAATCTTTCACCGACAATTCCAAAGTAAGGATTTTGCCTAAGTCTGTTTTTTTGCCTTCCTTCCTTCCTTCCTTCCTTCCTTCCTTCCTTCCTTCCTTCCTTCCTTCCTTCCTTCCTTCCTTCCTTGTTTTGGGTTATTTTTGTTTTGTTTTTACAGTCTTGACATCTTCTGTAATTTGATTTTATCCAGATCTTATCTTACTCTGACAGGATTTAATTTATTTTGCTACATAATCTGATTGAAAGTTTGGCTGACAATTCATAATCTTTTATTTTATCTTGATGAGATTGTCACCATCTGGCAACAAAATTTCTTAGTGACTTTCATGTTCTTTCTAAACACCTGGTTGACAAGAGAATTCAGACAGTCCAAAAATATGGTCTACTTCAAAATTCTCAGATTATGAGATTAAAGCACTCCTCCTTTCATTTAAATAGACTGAGCTTTGTGGCCCAAATAGTTTTCTAAAATTAAACAAAGATTCTATTCAAGAACTCAATTTCTCCAGGATTTACATGATTATAATTCAGGAAATGCAAATGATACATAGAGAAGTGGTCTATTCTGATTATATTATTCTGGTAAGATACTTCCAAGTAATTTTATTTATGAGCTACTTTAGTAGAAAATTTCCCTATATTTGATTCTGTAGTAATGTTTTCAATGATCCTACCTTTAAGGTTTTGGATATCTTGATAAAATTACAAATGGCAAATTTTCTTAAATATATACATATATAAAAGTTTTATACCTGGAAATACATATACTTAACATAAAATTGTAGAACAATGACTATCAGTTTTGTGATAGCAATATTTTTTCTTTGTTATCTAATAGTAGACTATTTCATAGTTATCTACTATCTAATAATAGATGAATTTCATTAGCCTGGATAATCAAAACAATCCAGAGGAGTGTAGAATTAATATTGGAAAATTTAACAATTTTTATTCAGTTGACATATTTTTATCCCTAGTATAAAACTGGTAGAAAGTCATTAAGCAATAAAAAAGTGGGTTTTGTTTGTTTGTTTTGCCCTCGTGATGCCCTTGGCAGACACTAATTTCCATAGTCTCTGAGCTGATAGATCCTACAGGACATTGGTAATGGTTGGACAAGTCACTGATGTAGACCAAAAGCAGATCTGCTGATTAATAGAATGTTTTGACTTTGAAAAGAAAATTGCATTGAGCAAATGCTAATGGTGGATTTAATCAAAACATTCTCACTTTTTATCATTTCTAGAAAAATAAAGTGCAGAATACTGTGAGTTTCATTAGAGGTTTAAGACAGCTTTTTCTATAAAACTATCTTGGTATTGCTTAAGTAACACAATGATTGCACTTCCGTGCTTTGTATGTTTTATATGTGAATTACACTCACTGGATCATACTCTGCAAACAGAAAATATCCACTTCAATTTGATTAGTGTGACATGTAATTCAATGTTATCCTTTCTGCATTTTCACAACACTCTTAATTATCACTGATGAGGTATTTCAGCATGCTAAATTTAATGGTACCAACTTTCAGAACAGAATCCAATCTTGCATTCGCCAAAGTAATGCAAAAGTAAACTTCAAATTTATACATTTTAATTCTGCTTAAAGTCTCAGAAGTACTTGCACACCAGTCCTCAAAAAGTTTTTTCAGATATAAGCGTTTGAAGAAAATATTTGTTATCATCACCATGGCAGAATGAGAATGGCAAATATGTACATGAAATCCTCCTTTAAAATGTTTTACATATTTATTTGAACTGGTTTAACATACTTAATTTTTGCTGCAAAAACAAACACGTTCAAAATGTATTTTCCATTTTTAGCTTTTCACTCCAATGCACTTGTCTTTCCCTTTCTCTACATTACAGAACAAGGAGAGCTTGAGAAAGTACCTCTTGTGAACAAATTAGGCACTTTAAACATCAATTTAGGGCTTACAGCAGTATAAACTGATGATATTTCATGATTCAGCCCATGAACAGCTGCTGCTTCAACA